CCATCCATCCATTCATTCATTAATTCATCCATTCATTCCGTTTTGTGATTATTTAACTATATAGGAATGTCTTGAGGCTAGTGGTAACACATACCCTTACCAACTAGCTGTAGAACAGCTTCACAAGGTTTCCAGTTGTTGTTGTCCACTAGAAAAGGTCGAATGCATTGGTAAGTACGAGTAATATCATATCTTTAAGGTTGAATGGACAAGATCCACTTGGAAGTAATATTTTTCCATGTCAGACCACGTATCGCTCTTGAGAATAAGATTATTCGTTTGATCATGTCCTCTCTTGCGCAACCCTTAAATTGATACTCTAGAGAATGACCCGTGGTCTTAAATAGGAAAACATTATGTCCAAATGGATTGTTGGAGCCCAGCTTTGTTGTGATTGTCCATCGCTGTGGCACAACAGCTAAAGCTTTAATAGATAGATATCCTGCAAGATCACTGCTTATCCAATGATATTGCTCGCAGTCGGCATCGTCACCATCACGGTTACACCACAACACGTTTGTGCCCGTGAGCTTTTTACACTCACACGATTTTTTATATAAAAATATCAATGTCTAATTTTTGTTTCTTGCATAGTTCGAGCATCACGTGGTATATGTCAGTGTGTGGAGGACTACTGGGAATGTAAAGGAAAACCAAAACACTGTCCTGAAACATCTATGTGAGTATAGAAAGTCCTATAACTACTTCTGCTTATGTGATAGAGCGTTTTCATGCGACGTCACAGCGGCCATGTTGGGGTACAAAAACAATGCATTTTATTTCCTCGGCGAATTGAACTCTATTTTTATGCAAATACTGTGTAGAAAGTTTCTATTGTTTGGTACTCCAATATGGCTGCCTTGTCACGTGAGTGAAAACGCTCTATACTATCTTGGTTACAAGTTGTTTCATAAAGGTGAATTTGATTTGTTTCCAGTGGGTGTGACGATCTACTGCCGATATTTAGCTATGTCATTGTAAGGAGTGGCATGGCGCAGCTTATCTCTGAGTGTATTGCCATGGAAGAATTCATCCCTGAGGGGTGAGTACGGACTTTCTCGAAGTCCTTCTTAGCGTTCCCCTTCCCTTCGCTTCACTCTATCTAGCGAGTTAACGAATATCTCCCAATGACCACGCCTAAGCTAAATACTAATTAATTTTTCGCGTGGTAATAAAGATTTTTGTTCATGACTGGATAAACCCAGCCTGAAGCCTCTAAATGCAAGGCTGCACAGGTAAATCTATTATTTCATTCAACATAATCAATTTGTTTGCCATGTCAAATATCATGCACGACACGAAATTGACGACATGCGTTGGACCAATCACAGTGCTCGACTTTACGCCTCCTCCAATCAGAATGCTCGGACTTATCACCGTTACGGTAACGGTAACCGCATTCGTGCTATTTGTCATCCACAAAATCTGCGTCGTTGCTTGGAGGTACCTCGTATGTACCATTTAATCATGCGGCATTTTAAAATATTTCACATTCGGTTAAGATGATGGATTGAGTGGGAGGCGTGCAATACTGTTATTTATCTTATTATATAGGCGCTTTCTGTTCAGTCAGTCATGGTTACACCAACCACTATAATAATACACTTCCTATATTTGAACTTGTTCTCCCCAACATGCGCTTTACCCTCCACGGCAACTTCCATTAGTAAGGAAACGTTTTGTTTTTTGTTTTGTTTTGTTTTGTTTTGTTTTGTTTTGTTTTGTTTTTGTTTTTGTTTTTGTTTTTGTTTTGTTTTGTTTTTTGTTTTAGTTTTTTTGACCGATAAACTTACTGCCTAAGATCTGTCTCTATTTAGTTACTTGATGGGAGAAGAAGGATATTGCTTGACGACCCTCCAGACTGCGCTGGCGTACTTGGTCACTTTGGACTGCCCTTAAATAACAAAAAGATCATCGATACTGGGTACATTGGACTAATCGCCAAGAGGGATTTTGTATGAAGTTATCAACCCCTTGTTTAGTCAAATATTAAAATTCTAATGAAATTATAAATTAGTTATAAATTAATAAATTGTAAATCCACAAATTATTTGTTTCAAGAAATGTTAAAAATATCAGGAAGGACAAAGGGGCCGCCTGAAAATGAGATTTCAAAACCAATACCGCATTATGAAAAGCATAAATTTGAAATAATAGACTAAATACAAATGGGAAAACAGTGGACTATGTCTATTACACTATCGTTTATATCATGGTCCCACGTGTTTTACTTTAACCTTTATCTTTAAAGCGCCTTTATAAAATAACTGTTATGAATGTCGCGTTCTGATTGGCTTGGAGCACGTGCTTTATGAGAGCACATTGCACGCGCCCGCACTTTCCGTTGCGTCATTCCTATCTATTATTGTAATTTGTATTTTATAAAAGAAATAAGAAACTTGCTTGCTGTGCTGTGTGCAGTCATAAAGCACTTGGGGGTTGGCAGAACACTCGAGAAGTGTCCAGAAGCACTCCGCTACGCGTCGTGCTTCTAACACTTCTCTCGTATTCTGCCAACCCCGCGTGCTTTATGACTGCACACAGCACGCGCGCGCGTTTTCTATTTCTTCAAAAAACCCTATCTAAATATTTTCAGTTAGTGATTGTACATTAAATGAGTAGTTGAAATATTTTCATATGATTTGAGTGATACATCTTGAAGATATCAAGGTTTGTTCTTCAAATATGTTAATGTCAACCCACACTTCACTTATATACAAAGCTTTTCTGGGGCAGTATGATATCCTGTATAAAACATCATTGTCCTACTCAGGGTTTATGGAAAGGTTAATGCAAATTTGTTTTCTCATATTAGAGAGCAAACAGTACATCCGTGAAATAGCACAAAAACTAAATAGCACTAAACACATCTATTTATTTCGTGTGTTTTTTTGTTTCTGTTTGTTTGTTTGTTGTTGTGTTGTTTTTTTTTTCATCTCACGTATACCATTCTTTTTTCCTATAATATCCTTGGGTTCTTTTTCAATATTTCTTATCTTCTGTTGACAATGCAACTTTGTTTTTGAAAAACGTGGCTGATTAATTTACGAGTGTACGAACTAGAACCTTTTTCTGTGGCGTAACTTGTTATATTCATAATCTGCATTTTGATGATTTTATATGAAACTCGTTGCGCATGTGCAATAAACGCCTCTGAAGTTGAATGTTATGTGAATGTATCGAAATTTCTAAATAGAAAGCGGCAAAAAGCAACCGTTACCCGATGTTTCCCCTCCATCTTGCGTGTCTAGTCTTTACCTAGTATTTACTCAATAAAATATCTATCTAACTATTCATCTATCTTAGTGGTCTTTACCTTGGTGAAGTGACGATCATTACGCGTGTAGTCTACATTAGTCAAGTGCGCAATCTTACTCGTGTAGTCTACATTAGTCAAGTGCGCAATCTTACTCGTGTAGTCTACATTAGTCAAGT